CTGCTCCAACACTCACTCTTCCCAACTTTACTCCACCTTTCCAACAATATACTGATGAAAGGCAGGGTGTAGCAGTGGGAATTTTAACACAAAATAATGAGCCAGACACACAGACAATAGCGTACTTGTCCAAACAGCTGGATTTAACTATCAGGGGCGGGCCAGCCTGCTTGAGAGCCTTAACTGTGGCTGCTCCTCTCACAAGGAGAGTCAAAACTCGCTTTTGGACAACAACCCGTCGCTGTCTACTCCTCTCACTCCCTTGCCAATCTTCTTTCACACTAGGTTCTACAACTCTGATGTCTTCTCACATTCAACAGTTTCATTTACTTTTCTCAGAAACTCCACATATATCCCTGGCCACAAGCCCTCCTTTAAACCCTGCCACTTTCTTACCTATCTCTCACGATCATTCCATGAATTCTTGCACAGAATGCTGAATTACGAAATTCCCCACTTCCCCAGCATTTCTCAACATCCCATACCTAGTTCCACTCTCACCTGGTTCATAGATGTCAGCTCCTATCTCCATGAGAAACAGAAGAGAGCAGGGTGTGCTACAGTATCCCGAGAGAACGTTATTGAAAGCGGACCACTGCCTATAGGGACATCTTCTCAAAAAGCTGAATTGATGGCACTAAGCAGGGCACTAACACTCTCAGAGAATGCAACAATTAGCATTCATACAGACTCCAAATATGCCTTTCACGTTCTACACTCACATGCCTCTGCATGGGAGGAGGGAGGCTTTCTCACTGCAAAGCTCTCCCCAGTAGGCAAGGCGCCTCTTGTTCTCAAACTCTTAGGATTACCAAAGGTGGTAATACGTTACAAAGGACGCCAACAAGGCCATAGCCCCATTACAATTGGCAATAACTATCAGACCAAGGGGCAAAAAGAGCAGCCTTGCAAAATCCTCCAGCTCCTGCCAACCAAATGAGAGCGATCTCCCATAACTCCATAAAATATTGCCTTGAAGAAACACATTCCCTACTAGAAGCTGGGGACAATCAATTTCATCCCTGGCTGCTAAACCAAGGAAAATACATCCTCCCATGAGAACAAACATACGCTATACTGAGAGAGATACAAAATTTATTCACATGTAGAATTTAAACCTCTACTCCAATTCCTAAAACCTCTCATCCACTGTCCCCACCTGTCCTTTCTTCTACAAGACATAACCCGCAAATGCTCTATTTGTTACTTGGTCTCCCCTCAGGGAGTAGCTAGGCCGTCCTCTTTTCCTACTCATCAAACATGGGGTTACATTCCTGGCCATGACTGGCAGATCGACTTTACCCACACGCCCTCTATCAAACATTAAATATCTTCTCACCGGAGCTGACACAGTTTCTGGATGGGTAGAAGCATTCCCCACCACCTCAGAGAAGGCCTCAGAGATCTCACATGAGCTTTTAGATCATACAATCCCCTGATTTGAACCCCCCACCAAGTATAAGATGGCTGTCTTAACTGCTATGACACTTTACTTATTCCTCTTTCCTCTAATTTCCCCCACCAAAACCACATGGTATAACAACACAATCTTTCTCACCTCCAGGGGAACAGGCTGACAAATATTCCAGGGCTACAATTTCTCTTGCTGGGTTTGTCACCAACAATCCATCCTTTCTCGGGATGAACCCTATCTTCAAGCCACCCGAGCTCATACATCTCCAGTGTCTCAAGCAAAGCCATTTAGCACCCCCCCTTCCCCAGTTTATTCCATCCATACCCTTGGACCCTTTCATCTATTGATCCTGATGATTCCTTTCACTCTTACCCTCCCAGCACCATGCTCCACACCAATCTGCTACCGTCCATGACGGCAACAGGTGGCTCTTTTGACTGCACACCCCCACCTACGTCATTGCCTTCTACAGTCCCTCTTCCCCAACTTAGCATTTCCTCCCTTGGGGTATGGGTATCTGCCACTTTCTTAATCACGCATCAGCTAAAGGAGTATGTAATGCTTCAGATGTCCTCGCAGGCCCACATGCCATAAACTGTGCTACATCCCTCCCCCATCCTTTCCTAATCTGCGCAATATTTCCCTCCAGACATGCATGTATCACCAGTGGGATTCGCTCATCCAAAATAGCACGGGGGAAGGCATATACCACCGCTCCTGACCACATTGCAACCCTGTACACCCTTTATACCCCCATTTAGTGTCATGGCTAAATCATTCATCCCTCTACCTTTGGAGGTACACCACTAAACTTGGCCTACTGTGTCTTTCTTCAGGTGTCATGTTCTTGGGGAGCACAGGCAACAAAGGAATTGCTCCACAATGTATAAATCCCATAGAAACTAGAGGTATTTGGTCTGTAGGGTATGTTTTACCTCCAGATAAAGTTGTTTCCATCCTTCTCCCACAATCAATCACATCTACAAACCCCCCTCACCCACACACTGGAGGAGAGCCATAGGCCTCATACTGGTGGGAATTATGACACGCTTGAGTCTAGCAGGATTGGCAGGAGGAATCACATACAATGCACTTGAGGCCAAAAATATCACCACCACTATGGCTGTGGTGGCTTAAGATATAGAAGAGAACTGTAAACTCCTATCGGATTCCCCTAATTCATTAGCTGCCGTGGTAATAGATAATAGAATAGCACTGGATTACTTGTTAGCTTCAGAGAAGTTTGTGTGATTGTAAACACCTCGTGCTGTTTCTGTGTAAACACCACAGGACAGGTAGAAGAAAAGACATAATGGATTCTGGAAAATGCAGAGTGGCTAAAAAGTTCTATGGAAAGGACAAAGCAGATGCAATCTGGAACTCCCTCCAATCTGTCCTCCCGCAAATGACCTGGCTCTTACCCTTCTTAAGACCCTAGTGATGATTATACTAGCTCTCCTTTTCAGCCCTTGTCTATTACAGCTTTTTCTACATTTTCTTAAAGACAGAATTCAAGTCATCACCTGCTAATCAATCAGAGAGATCTTCATGATAGAACAAGCCCTTCCACACCTCCAGCTCAATACCCGATCCTGACAGCATCCTTTACCAGCAGAGAGTAGTCAGAAAGACAACACTGCTTTCCAACCTTTTAATTTTTAATCCATACCTTCCCCTTCCCCTTTTCTTATATGTATATAATCAAGAGGATGGAATGTTAGGCTTAAAGAATTTACGGCCAGGCGTGGTGGCTCAAGCCTGTAATCCTAGCACTCTGGGAGGCCGAGGCGGGCGGATTGCTCGAGGTCAGGAGTTCGAAACCAGCCTGAGCAAGAACAAGACCCCGTCTCTACTATAAATAGAAACAAATTAATTGGCCAATTAATATATATATATATAATTAGCCGGGCATGGTGGCGCATGCCTGTAGTCCCAGCTACTCGGGAGGCTGAGGCAGAAGGATTGCTTGAGCCCAGGAGTTTGAGGTTGCTGTGAGCTAGGCTGATGCCACGGCACTCACTCTAGCCTGGGCAACAAGCGAGACTCTGTCTCAAAAAAAAAAAAAAAAAAAAAAAAAATTTACCCTCCCCAAACTTCCATCTAAACCTCCTATAAAACCCACCTTCTCCCTTCCTAGGGGTGTGTTAGGCAGGTAGCCTTTCCCAGACCCTAGAGAGATAAGGGAATGAAATGCAAGAGGGGAACTGACTTTCCTTATCCCTCCTGGTTGTTTGAAAATAATTTATTTACTCCTCCCAAAAAAACCCTCTATAAATCCAAGGCTTTTCCCTTTTCTCTCCTGGATGCTTTTTTCGACTTCTACCCATCTGCACCCAGATGTTCAAAATAAACAGCATTTTGCTACACATGAGGCTTTGTGTGTCTCCCTCTTGGCTCTGGACCTAACATTTACTATGTATATAATATTTAATAAATAGGCATTCAAGGGCAATTTCATTGGATATGCAATTGAGAAAGGTCAGTATTCATAGAAAGTTTCATATTAACTATATTTCCTGATGTTAATCATCATTTATTTCTCTGCTTTTTAATGCATAAAACTCTCGCCTGGCTTTTAGCACAAAGTTTAAGCTCTTCTTTACCCATGCAATTCCAAAACAGTATCTTCTTTAAAGAAACTAGAATGATCCATAGCAACATGAACTGATAAGAATTCTTAGAAAATGGTTGACACAATTCTGGATTAAAGGGGAAAATAAATATGTTATAATTTGAAGGAAAACCTTCCCCTTCATTGGTACCCAATGAAACCTAAGTTATGCAGAGTTCACAATGTATAAAACAAAACAAACAAAACCCATGAATTTTAGAGTACTTCTCAGGGCTCTGTTAGAGCATTTTGTTTTTAGAGCAAGCTATAGGTTACATTTGAGTAAAATCTAGCCTTCTACTTGTTTTGTAAATAAAGTTTTATTGGAATGCATATCATAGCCATTTATTTACATATCCATTGTGACTGCTTTTACACTTAAACAATCGAGTTGAGCAGCTATGACTGAAGCCCTGTGAGCCACAAAGCTGAAAATACCTACTTTCTGGCCCTGAACAGAGAAAGTTTGTCAAACCCTAAGAAATCCATGTACGTGGTGAATTAACTTCCTGTTTGTCCATCTATTATGCTATTAGTTATGCACCATTCTTTGGAGAATTGAAAACTAAAAAATTTTACTCAAAGCATTTATTGTGTTCTGTAGTTCAAATGCCAAAGGTTCCTTTAGAGCAAGTTTGCTTCCCCCTTTTTATTTGTGAATAGGGTAATTTTTTATAAATCTATAATTGATCACCCAACTGGGATATTTTTGAGAGAGAACAGGGATACTATTAATAATTATGCTGGGATGACTGGTATAAATTGAGATACATGGTGACCCCCGTTTTGAGGTACCACCCAACTCTGAAGTTGGTTGACAATCTCACAAAACAAGCCAATCAAAGTCAAATGGGGCTGGCCTAAGACTGTTGCTTTTCTGTTTGGCATTTTCTGATTCCACCTCCCACCAGCCTACCCTCAATGTCCTTGTAGATAGCAAGACATCTTCAAACACAACACACATTTAGAACTTACTTTTTAATTCTTTCTCCAAAAGCAGCTATTTCCTCCAAGATGTTTTGAACAGTTGAAACAATATCCTGCACCATATAGATTCTCTCAATTAACCCCTTTTTCTCAGATTCCTAGAAAGGCAAGAATCATAAAGGCAAGATTTAACTTAGTTACCTCATTTTTTTCATCATCCTGCTATAGAAATGATGTTATAATAATGTTTTTGTGTTTTTTTTTTACCAACAGAGTGACTCCAAGATATAAATCACATTTTTTTACAACTTAAATATTTGACTTCCCCCCAAAAATCTCTGTTCACTCACTCAGATACTACCACTCCTAGTGTGTGAGCCTCAGTCCCTACACCTCGATATAATGAGGTGCTACATGGAAGCCCCCAGAACCAAGGGCTTCATTATCCTGCAGAGGCTGCTGCTTCCCTCAGAGAACTCAGCGATCCCTTCAGTCTGGCTGCTTCTGATTTTCTGTCTGCACAAGGTTCTCTGTCAGCTCACCTTATCCCTTCTCCTGTCACAGTCCTTCAGAAATATTCCCAGCAGGTAATGACTTGGCATGTTGGAAATACAGATATGTTTCCTGGTACCGTGCCTTCTTAGTCAAACTCTGCTGCTACATTTTAAGCATATTTTAAATACGCTGCAGTCCTGAGGAACATTTTAGCCTTCCTTTGGCAACCACTTCCGGAACAAAGCCAGCTGCTGGAGACATGCTCCAAAGTAAGCCAGGAGTGTCCCGCTGCGGGCTGTGTCCTACCCAGGCCATTCCCTGACAGGATGCTCAACAGTGCATTGTAGTTTCCTCGTGAGATTGGAAGCAAGTCAGTCCGTCTTCCTCAGTCTCCAATTCTTCATGTGAAATGGAATTCAGCTAAGAATATTATCCTTACATTGCTTGTAAAAAAAAACCTTAAATGTGTTTTACCATGCTAGGTAGCTAATGCTTCTAAAAATAATCTAGAATTATGCAAATATCAGAGAAAAGAAGATTCCCGAAAAGACTGGTATTTTTAACTATCATATTCTGATGCTATGCTCTAGCTCCCCCGTGAACTTCGCTGTTATGAGGAATTAACCCAGTATCCTTGCAACTCCTGCCTTTCTGGGTCATTGTAGCCACTATGCTTAATATATGAAATCTAAAACCTCAAACAACTCTTAAAAAAAACTTTTTTCCTCCTAATCTAGAATTCTACTTGGGTTGGAATTGTACTAAATTATTGAGCAAACACTTCTAAATTTAAAAGAACATTTGTGTAATATTCTCTGTGTTGCAAAAGGAAAAAGAAATCATTTTCATCTCGTATTCTTTGCTCCATCAAACTGGAGCCATGGATGGAGTGAAGAAGCACCCAGCCCCCAGTAGGGAGTGCTGGTAAAAGCACCCACATGTCAGGAATGTCAAGAAGCACAAACTTCTCTTCTTGGATCTGTGCTCTTGTTTAGGAAGCTTCTTGGTTAAAACAGACCAGGGAGGGGCAGAGGGTAGAGTACATCATTGCCGCCCCCTCTCCCGTAAAGGGTGCTGGGTGGTTTGAATCACTTCTTACCATCTGGTCTGTGCTCCTCCTGCCACCATTCTGTGCAAGAAAAATCAGGCTCATTGTTTCCTCTTGTAACATCAAACTTGCAAGACATTTTTACTTTTTTCCCTTACTCACTAATCTAATTCTTTAAGAGTTTGCATTAAAAATTAGATATGCTACCACGGCAAACTCATTCATACTCAGTAATCCACTGGCATCTATTAATGGGCACAATGGTGAAAACCCATCTCTGTCTGCATCATAAGTATTCATGTTTATAAAGGAACATTTGAAAGCAGAGGAGAATTTGACCCAAAGGGCAAAAGTGGCTTCCTCTTTTCAGTAACATTGAGCTTAGGTCAAAACAATTTCTTGGAAAATGACTCAAATTTCCATGTGGTTCAATTTCATAAGAACTTCCTATTTCAGTTTTCTGATTTTTTTCCCCTATGAAACACTTGAATACTGAGGATCTGGATGTGAAGAAAGTATGAGTTAGTACACCAAAATAATAAATTATTCTCACAAGTCCTTTCACTTTTTAATGAATTTGATGTTTTAGTTTTAGTATTCAATATCCAAACACGAGGCTGAAGAGTTCCACTATATCTATAACAGAATAATTTATCAACCAGATCTATATACTTTTATGAGTGAAAGTAACAGAATTATTTAATTTTTAAAATATTAATGGACAACTTTTTTTTATTATAGTGGATCTATACAATTATTTCATTTTATTTCAAAACAAAAAATATTTTATGTTCAGTAAAACAAAATAAATTTATGTTGATTATCTGAATGCTTTGAAATGACACATGAAGAATGATTATTTATGGTACATTCATACATTTTAGTTGGTGTTCTAGCTGTATCTATAATCCCACATGAGGATTACTTTTCAAAAGAATGTACTTTTGAAAAGTAAATATATATCTTTTCATTTCCAAATTTCATAAAATGTTCTTAATCATCTTCAGAGTTGCACTTAATGGTCACTGAGACCTTAATTGACTTCACTGTAGACCATAATTTTAATGAAGAAATACTCTTTCTACAAGCACCTAGGTACCTTGAAAACTCACAACAAAAATATGACATATGAAGAATATTCTCAATTCTATTTTTAAATATTAAAATCTATATGTCAGCCCAAATATTTTCAAAGACACTATATTTTTGTATGCATTCATATGAACATTCTCTGCCAAACATTTTTTCAAGACAATCATTTGAACATTTAACAAAATTTATGCTTAAAAATCAATGGCTTATGTATATTAAATATCAAATGATTTTTTCCCATGAATTGAAATAATCTAAAGCTCAACTGTAGAATTTAAAAATTGAGTCATATATAGCGTTTGACCTCACATTTTGCTTTTGTAGAGAAAAAAAATTCAATGTTTTTTTTTTTTTTTTTTTTGCCACTCCTCCCCCTCCTTTCATTCAGGAAACGCTTCTAAAAATAAATTTACTTAGTATCTCAGTCATCAAAGATTTTGATTAAAACTTTCCTGATTATGACCAAATTACAACAAAAATGTAAAACATTTCTGTTTTTCACAAAACAGCACAACAGCCTTGGAGAATGCTGAGATTGACTGAGAGCTCTTTGCAGGTTCAAAGCTTCCTAAAATCAGACTGATGATGGGCAACCAAAAGAAAGTGCATCCTGACATGCTGAAGTTTATTTTTGTATTTGATGTATATTTGTCAAACTTGTTGATATCCCAACTGCATATACGTATTTATAAATGTGGATGCTATGACTTCTAATACAATCAGTGAAGCATTACCATTTGCCTGAATGCAATCATGAATAATTAAGGAACCACAGCCAATCTCAAGTACATTTCTGCTCAGATTCTTTCATTTTGGAAAAATAGTAGTGGTTCCATCAAAATCTTCATTCATTTTATCACTACAAAGTAAAATAATCCACAACGCTAAATGTTTCAATTTACAGTGGCATGCTTGATGTGAGGGATTTCATTATTTGGAAAAATTAATCTGCAAAAGCTTTGTTTCCATGCATTGGATCAAAAAGATTTCACAATTATTTGATATTCTGTTTGCATCCTTTGATGGCAGGCAGATTAACAGCTACTTTGCCATTCTTCATACGTGCATAATGAAACCTTGGAAAGGAACATGAGATACATTAATGTGGAAGACCAGTTATTTGATCTAAATGAAAAGTCATGATGCAAAAAATACATGGATGCACATTTTCAGCTATCTGTATTAAAAGCATGTTTTCAGAAAAAGTTTGCTTAAAGTAACTGCTTTCTGTTGAAGTAGGTGTTGAAGCCTCTTTGGCAGGTTTGTGACTTAGGATTACACATCAGTGACATGGCCAGGGCTGCAGGATGGAAATGTGAACAAATGTTTATCAGTTAATTAACTCTCTAGATGATTGGAAAATCAGTACTTGATTTTCATTAAACACATACTTTTTTTTGGTTGTTATTTACTTATTGAAAAAGCATTATAAAAGGGAAAACGTGATTTACTCAGTATAATGAATGAAATAAAATATTCTACTAATAATCATCAGACTTTTTATTCTCTTATCAATGAGATGGCTTAAATTGTGCATGTATTTACCATACACCTTTGCTATAATTTCTCATCTTTCCCACTAACCATTCTGAACAGGCAGCTTGGAGGCCGCCTCTGACTTTTCCAGGCCTGGCACCACTGGCTGGTGTAGCACATGGTGGATGGGGTGGAGGCATCGCATGCTTCTCCACCAGAGCCCGAGACAAGGAAGGGTTAGCTCATCTGAGTGCACTTTGCTCAGAGACCATCCAAAAGCTTTCCTTTAAAGCTGGGTGTTAATGACTCAGCCTTCAGGAAAAAGTCGGGAGAATAGAGATGGGTCATTCCTGGCTGTCAGATTGAACTCGGTGTGTCTTTGAGAACTCTGGTCACTGCACATGCATCTCGTGGGTTACTAGCAATGACCACAGAAGAAGCTGAATGCATAAATCGAAAGCCTAAGAAACTTATCTTGTTGGAAACAATATAAACTTAGTTTAAAAATGATAACTAGTAAATGGAAACTCTCATGAAAAACAGGGACCTGTGATGAACCTCAATCAGTTTTTTCCTAAAACTCATTAGTACAGAAAGGAACCAAGTCTTTTCCGGAGCATTACTCTAGACAGGGAGGAAAAGATTTTTTTTTTTTTTTTCATGTGTTTCAACCCCTTCTTAGAATCGCTGCATGAGGTATTTGCTATTCCTGCGTGTGGAGGAAAAAGATCCATCTGAGGGCTGGTATCTTCATGATTATTGGCAAATGAAGTTTCTGTTCTCTGAATAGTTTTAAAAATGGACAATGTGTATTTATTAAGGTATGGTAGCTTCTACACAACATGAAAATTATATTTTCATCACTTGGATGTTTCATTAATATCTTCTCTAACCCTCCTGCTCTGCTATATCCTTTTTGAACTGGTAGACCAATGAATAAGACCAGACTGCTGTATCTGGCCTGTGTTCTCAGCACCCACAGCTGAGGTGTGTATATCCTTGGTGCTGCTACAATACTTGTTTGATGGAGAAATAAGAGAGTAGTAT